CTTTATTATTGAACATTTCCATATTCCCCCCTCCCATGTGTTCATATTCTCCTTCACATTAAATATAAATCTTTACCCCTACTTTCTACCAGGCTGACCCTATCCAAACCTCAAGCCCTCTTCCTCAAGGATGACTTAGAGTTGGTCCTAATGTATAGTAATCTCTCCTCCTCTAAGCTGCACTTGCTATTTCTATAAAATTTTGTATTTTATTATGCATTATGTATAGCACTATGCAATATATATTTTGTGTTTGCATATAATGACTACTATTTGCTCATCTATTCATGTATGTTGTCTGGCTTATCTGTCTATAGCATTCTCTGAAAGCTCACAGAATTAATGCCTCATGTATTATATCAATTTAGTACAGTGCTTGGCACAGAGCTAGTTTCAAATAGGCCCTTAGCAATTGACTGACTAATCAATTAGCAAAATGGAAAATCCAGCCAGTATGCTCAAGCTTTGTCTATTGGAAATTACTTTTCTAAAAAGCATGTTTCCTTCCTTTACAGATCAATTGCAAAGTCAAAATTCAAACACTGCAGATTTCACAAACAGGAATAGCTGGGAAGTATCGGGCTTTACAAATAATGAATGTGCACATCAAAACCAAAGTTGCAGATGTTTGTAAAAGTATACACATGCAGCTCATGCAACTTATATGAGCAGAGATGGCTAAAAACCCTCACATCCCAGCCTAGGTAATGAGTATAAGCTGACCCGGAGAGAGTCCAGGCTGACCCTGATAAAATCCAGCATAGTGGCATGGTTTCCAAATCACCGGAATATTTCTAGAGTATAGTCTAGCTTTGCCAGTTGCAAAGGAACTACATATTTATTTTGGCGAAGCTCTCTTGTTTGCTGAACCTTCAGACCTTTACAGCATCTATAAATGAAGGCAACCAAGCCTGTTTCATTCGGGGATAAACCCGCACATTATACATCTCTATCGTTGATTGTGCAGAAAGGAATGGAAATAAAAGCAATCTTTCTACCTTACTTATTCTAATCCAGCTTTCTTTACAGAAGGCCAATACTGAAAATAAGTATGGCTTGTCTATGCTAATTAATTATAAGTCTCTTACAGGTTTGATTAGACCTTTTTAGAATTAAGATAAAAGGGTAAATGTTCACAATGCATATAGCACAAGGCAGAAGGCTGCGATTCTTTATAATATAAAATGTTTATCTGGCACATAGCATTATTTTTCTAGAATAATTATGTTTACTCTAATTTGGGGCTTACTATCTTCCAGAGACTGTTCTAAGCACTTTAGATGTCAAGTCTTCAGAAGGGTCCCATGTTGTAGGCAAAATTGTCATCTCCATTCTATATATGGTAAACTGAGATACAGAGAGTTTAAGTAAGTTTGGCAAGTGGAGAGTTCAGAGGTATAAAGATCACTCTGCATTAGTTCCTGGAGCCAGGAAGAAACCCATCTAGTATTTGAGCTGGAATAGTCTGGCTCCAGAATTATGTTCTTAACCACTACACATACAACCTCTAAATAATTTGTAGGCTCTAATTGCGAGGTATGTGTAATGGTGAAAAGGCATATGTTTCACATTCACATATGCCTGTTTAAATATTAACTCTGCAATTTACTAGCTGTGTGGCCTTGAACAAATTATTGAACATCTCTGAACATGGTGTTTTCCAACCCCATTGTGAGAATATTACAAATCTGTGGTATTTGCAATGGTCTGTATAATCCCTGAACATAGTATATCGCATGTGATAAGTAGTCAATAATTTACCAATATTATTATTCAAAAGTAGCCCCAAATTGAATAACTTATAATATCTACACAATCCTCTATTAGTTCATGGTAAATTATTGAATGCTTTTCAAATGGAGGTACATTTGGCCATAGTTCTCTAGGAAAAGACAGCATTGTAGCTATATGTATCCTAATGAATATCATTTCAACATTAACAGTACTCTTATCAGAATTATTACAAAATTCTGATACTTAACCTGTCAACCAAGGGCATTAAATCCAAGAGCTAACTTTACTCTATTTCATATTATTAATAAATTCACTTCATAGTAGCTAAGTGAAAAACAACCTAACTCCCTGACCACATTGAACAAAATTTTATTGGATTGAAAGTTATGCATGTTTTTTCTAAATCAGCAATAAATATTGACCTTACCTCTTCCCTCAATAGATCAATAACAATGTTTCAATTTCTTGTTTGTTTTTCTCTTTTGTAACAACGTCACATCTAATGCAGACCAATTTCCAAAGCTGAACCCCAGGAAGTGAATAATCTATCAAATAAAACTATCTAAAAGAGAAGACAGTTCTTTAAGTGGAAATAATACCTGGCTTTATGTAGGAAGTATGACCAAGCAGGGCACAAGAAAATACTCAGCACTGAGGATTAAAGAATGCAATACCCACTGGCCATTGCTTGCACATCTATAGCCCATCCCCAGGCTACAATGATGCTTCCATAAGGAACACCCCCCACCCCCCAAATCAGGATCCTTACTCTAAATTTCAAAGCTCTACCCTCTGCAGCCAATGATCTTAGTTTCTCTAGCTTCTAGGAACTCTTCCTCAAATAGCACAGCCATATTCATGACTATGCCAAAATAGGCCCCCAGGCTTATTCTGAGGCAATGGGGTAAGGACAATTCCTCAGATATTTGGCATAAGGCAGGCAGAGACAGGGATTTAAACCTTTGTTCTCTCCCCTTTCAGCATAGGACTGCTGGAAGCCTCCATATCTTTCTCTTGTTTAGAGGACCATGTGCTTTTACAAGCATTGTCATGTGTTTAGATAGTCTGATCCAGAGCTGTTTCAGTGTACCCTTTGGTAAAGGGAACTAAATTAAGCAGAATTACTGCATCTCAGATTTTCAAACAAGTACTAGGGAACTAAAATGGAACCTTTGACAGCCTCCCACACTATGGTGAAAGAGACCCGTTATGTATTGCTAGATACACAGGGGACATGACTGAGAGAAGTGTGGGAATCACAAAGGGTCTCAAATTTAAACTTTTGATTCTCTGATCAAAAGAGCTTATGTACAGTCTCAGGGATACAATGGCAGGATTGAAAGAAAACACGTATCACAGGGTCTTAAATTGGTGTTGTGTTGCATATGACTATACTTCCTAAAGTCCATTGTGAATTGGTATTTTTAATAAATCCTCTAGTTAGCATGTGAGTAGGTCAATTATACCGCATTGTACTTTTGGCATAAAAAGCATGATTTTAAGAAATGCAAACATTTATAATATAGGAGAATCTGATCATCGTGTTTTGCATGTCTTCATCTGTTACTAGATTAGGATCCTGACATAACACAGTGGCCTACACCCCTTTTTATTGGAAAAGGGTTCTGCAGTGGAAAGAAATTCATTGATTATCGAATGTGATGTAATGTAATGTACAGTTTTACTGTGATAGTAAATCCATATTTAATAGTAACGATGATAGAAATTCACTTTTATTGATATTGTACTAAGTAAGCACTATATAAAGTACTTTTAAAAGCACTGCCTCATTGAATCCTTTCAACAAGCATATTATTTGTTTCATTTCACACATGAGAAAACAGAAGGGTAGGGAAGTTAAATCATGCCCAAGTGGGTGGCATAGTTAGTGTTTGCATCTCACCAACTCCAAAGCCCATGCTCCTCCCAGAGCATGCCAGCGCATTGTCCAGATAACGCCCAGGCTGCTTTCATTGATTCTTTTGTTGTTATTTTTATTCAGTTTACTATTTCAAATTAATTGTATGCTATAAATACAGGATTCTAAAACCAACGTTTTGTTCCTTGGGTTTATTTTTTGTCCTTAAAACGAACTAGCTCTCAGAGGGAAGGTAGGGAAGGGTAGGAGTAAGGGGGAGAGGTCAACCAAGGAACTTTATGCATGTTTATGAGCCTAACCAATGGACACAGACAACAGGGTAGTGAGGGCATGAGTGTGGAGTGTGGAAGGGAGTAATGGGGAAATAAGGACACATATGTAACATTTAACCAATAAAGAAAAAACAAACAAACAAAAACAAACAAACAAACAAACAAACAAACAAAAAAACTAGGTCTTCACTTATCCTTCCAGGTCTCTCTTTTCTTCTTATTTCCCTGGCATCGCATGGCTCCTCAACTCTCTGTCCAGTTAACAGTGAATACAGCTTCCTCTTTACTTACTCTACTTTTCTCTCTCAAATTCTTTCCAAGCATCTTCCCAATCTGATTCCAGCTGCCTCTCCGGCACCTCCAGAAAGCCCCCCCCCCTCCACTCCCTCCCTCCCGTGCTTCTGGGTCTGGCTGTGCTGGGACCTCCAGGCATCTGCATCCCCACTTATCCTGACTACTGTGGTTACAGGGGCCTCTTCTGAATGCAGACAGCCAGTCAGCCAAGTCGAAATTTATACCAGAAATCTATTACCTAATTTTTAAACAAAATGACATGAAATCAGACTTGAAGATATCAAAAACATGTCTAGTTTTTTTGATTCAAGCAAGAAAATCCACATTGTTACTGTTTCCACCACAGAATAATTTACTGCAACGGGAGTTCTGGATCTTATGCCAGAAATGAGGTCCTCTAACCAATGTCAAGGCCAATTATCTTGTGGTGGATCCCACAACAAAAGCAGACTATTGTGATTAGAGTCAGAAGCACCACCCAGAGAAGTTGGAAGGCTTCTGGGGACTTCTTGCGTTCAGTTTTTCTTTTCTCTCCCCATGCGTCTGCTCACATATGCTACCAGGAACTTTGTGTGTGGGCACCGAGCGTCTTGGGTTAGCTGGGGAGACGAGGACAGGGGCGATAGGCTGGGAGTGACCTGCCGCAGGGCTGGATGTGAGCTGTGTGCCTGTGACACCATGAGAATGACCAGTCAAGCCCCTTCGACAGGTCACAGCCTCCTCCTTCCCCTAACCTCCATCCCAAACAAGCTGCCAGTAGCCATGCTGCGGTTCCTTGGTGGGAAGGGCAAACCCATGTGACTACGTTCAGAGACACTTACCCCACAGTGAAGAACTGCCTCATCTCCTGTCTCCGAGACCTCATCAGTTGCTTATACTCCCCGATCCGGAGCTTTTTGCCATCAACAATGCAGGTGCGCTTCGGTCGAGGTTTGTACTTATAGTTGGGGTACTTCTCTAAGTGGATTTTGCTTAGCCGGGCCTGCTCTTCATAATATGGTTGCTTCTCTTGGTTGGACATGGATTTCCAGCGAGACCCTGGACATAAAAATAACCTTAAGTGCCCAAATGGTGAAGGCAACATATTCCTGGCAAATACAACTAGGCATACCTCCCACCTGTGTTCTGAGTGGCCCCTAGTACCGCATACCCCCGAGACTCACAGCTAGTAGGCTAGACTATAGAGCAAAGCATAACTTTCTGTGATACATTATATTATTTCCCTCAATAACTTAAAGATGGTATTACAATAAGTGCATTGTTTTAAAACATGTCTTTGCTGCTTAAAGGTCATCTCCCACACCCCTCCCATCTGCCTATCGCTCTCCAGAGGGTTAAACACCTAATCATGCCTCCTTTCAGTGTGACAGGGCTCTCAGGAAAAGCATTTCTGGTTCCAAAAGCTCTAACATCTCTCTTACTCCAAGCATCATTAGCAAAGTTATCTTTTGATAAGATGTCCGCAGATAGGATATCCCTCAACAGACCCTAACCCTCTGTGCATGCTGCCTTCCCTGGCCTAGGGTAATTAAAAAGCTTCAACTTCACTTAAGAAGCGATAGCTTTGCAGCCGGAAGGTACCACTGGGATTATGTATACCACTTTCAAGTACTATAAACGTCCATTCAGAGCTGTACCAATGAAAGTACAAAAAATTTTTAATATGGTTTATCCAGGAAGAAGCAAAAGTATTCACTCCTCTAATATTGTTTATAAAGAATTATCTAAACACTTGACGAAGAAGGGATGTGTTTTTTCACATATATCAAATTGCATTTTTGTGTCTCGCTGGCAAATAAAGTGGTAGCAGCTGTGCTGACTGGATGTGAGCTATTCTTCGGTGAAGATTTTTCATACATAAACAAATGGAGAAGTTGTACAAATATTCCCTGTAGCCAGCAATATCCTGGTCTGCCTTAATGGCCCATCCATCCCTGCTCCTTCCTGATGCTTGCGAATGTTGGAACGTCTATGCAGGTAGCTCCTCGGTGTCCCCCTGGCTCCCAGTGGCTTCGAGCCTTGCTCACAGAGGATGCTTGGTGCTCTGGTGCTTAAAGGTTTACATTTTAATGAATACACTTACTATATTCTTAATACTTTTTTTTTACAGAGAATGCACACCAATAATATGGATTCCCCACAGCTGCCAAAATGGAAACAGAAGGGTTCTGTGCCCATCTGGGAGCCTACTCATACTGCTGCTAAAATGGCAAAAAAAATAAAAAAAAATTAAAAAAAAGGAAGAAATTTTTTTCAAAGTTAAATATCAAACTTTAAAAACAGAGAAACCTTGGTTTTCTTCAGGATGTCTATTAATTAGGACAAATTTAATATATGCATTGGGAACATGTTGGTTTGCAAGGTATTTAAATTAGAAGGAATAATACCTCTGTGCATATCTCTGAAACTCTAAAAATAAATGCAATTGTAATGACATTCACTATCCATTGCAAAATCCAAATGGAAAAAAAGGGGGTAAATTTGTATTTGAACATTTCACCACTATTTGATCTCATGTATGTTTTAAATTTTCTTAGAGGTCACTGCCTCAAAATGCCTCAGAATCAAGTTAAATTATTTATACAGTGACAAAACATGTGTATTTGTGTGTGTCCAGATCACTGATATTCACTCAGGTTAAATATTTATTGCTTTTGAACAAAACATTTAAAAAATGAAAACCACAGTTTAAGTCTCTAATGTTTTTCGGCTTCTTTGCCGGCTCCCTTTGAGATTTTGTCACATCCTGACAGCTTAAATAGAACAGTGCTTCTGTGTTTTTTCTTTTTTAAAGAGGAAACATGTTGACTATAATGCCGCGTATTGAATAAAATATTTCAATATGTTGAGCACAATAATTCCAAACTGTATAATCCGCACGAGGCAAGCTTTACACTAATAGAACAAGGCTTGAGTCTAATCCTGAGAAACGGGAGGATCACTCCGGCAATTCACCACAAAATGGGTCTCTGCCCTGTGGTCTAATGTGTGCAGCTCGCTGCTATGAAATTTGAACTAGTCACATCGTATTAAAGTAAATGTAGCTTTTATTTTACAACTTCTGAAGTTATCATTAGAGGCACTGCTCTGCACTCCATGAACTTCACACTATGCGGGGGCTCACCCCCACATCTGCGATGTGTTCTTTTCAGAGGGGCATGTGAACAAGAAGACTGCAGCCGAAAACTGCAGGCTCTGAGCATGTTTCCAGGTTTCACAGCCGTTTAGGAATTTAAGGAGACTGAGTAAGAAGGGGAGATAAAGCTTGTCTCCCGCGACTGCTGTGTAGCAGTGACCCCTCAGCGTTGCCAAATTCATAGTATTAACACATCCTAGAAATAATTTTGTCTCTAAAAAGAAGTTTTTAGTCAGTCTTGCCCTGGCACCTTGTGGATGTCTGAACTCCCAAAGCTAAATGCCACACTCTGGAGCAGGGGATGCAAAGGTGGTGACGAAGGCTCTCGTGGCAGCTTGCCGGGCTACATCTAACTTCTGCAAATCGGTCTCCCTTAGGTATCAAACGGTGGCCCTGCCTCCCACTCTTGGGGACACTCATGGGGTAGAAGGTCACCCTCGGCGGCTGCACTCACCTAAAATTTTGCTAATGTTGGAGTTATGCATGTCGGGGAAGGCCTGAAGAATTTTCCTCCTCTCGTCCTTCGCCCAAACCATGAATGCATTCATTGGTCGCTTGATGTGTGGCTCGCTGCTGGCCCGGCCACGGGCATCCCTGTAGACTCGTGCTTCAGCCACAGTGGCACCTCCTGTTGGCCAACAATAATACTGCTGTAGTTTAGCTGCAGAGCCATTCATTGCTTTACTTCCTGTAATGTCAGGGCAGGAAGAACAAGACGGGTGATAAGCATTATTATCTGGATCGGGTAGCACGGCTTGCCGCCTGGTTCAGCTGCCTTCCCTAGGCCCTTCTCTCCTTTTGAAGGGACCTCTCGGAAGCAGAAGGCAGTTTCAGATGACAATTCACAGGCCCTTCTGACACAGGCCTCAGAGACACACCGGGCAGCATGAATGGTGGGTTTTTATACATCTAGTACATTTTTAAAAACAATCCGCTGCAAGTGATGATGAAGTAATGACGGGCATTTTTTAGGCTAAACTTTCCTGATGACATTCCTCTCTTTGAGAGCAGACCCTTACCTATCCTTATAGCCTCATTTGCCAGAAATTGAAGCCACTTCAAACTGCCTCTTTCCCTCTGGTAGGATCTCTTTCACGATAGTGGGCCTGGGCCAGTGGTGTTCTCAGTGCCTGGAAAGAAGCCCTTTCTCCCACTCTTCACACTAAGTCCCACTCTGCCCTCAGGGCCTGTTCTAATGTGGTGTGTCTCATGAATTAATTAAGTCAATAAAAATAGTAATTGAGCCATTACTGTGAGTTGGGTTTTAGGCCAGGTGCTAGGGATACAAAGGTGAATAAAACAGCCCCTGCTTTTAAGTAGCTCACAGTTCAGGGGGGCGACAGAGCCCAAAAGACAATTGTCACGGTGTATAAGGTAAGTGCTTATAATACTGAAGTAAACAGGGTTCCGAGAGGGCACCGGACAGGAGAGCCAGCTAGTGCCCTAGGAGAGGTCCTACCTAAGCTGAGACCTAGAGGATGAATGAGAATTAGTATGTGAGCTAAGACAGATGGGAAGGGACAGGAGCAGCATCTGTAATGATGCCTTCAGGCTGCATTCATTTTGTTGCCTTTATGCTATATGCTCCAAAGTTATTACTTGTCTGTGTGACTATCTTTCTCTAATTGTTCTACTCCATCCCCAGGAATAGGAGAGGCCCCTAAAGCTGATGTTTGTGTTTACTCCTTCTCGTATCCCAGGATTTCCCACATAGCAGGTCTTTATTTAATGTAAAGATTGTTTGGTCTTCAACGCATATGCAAAAGTAGTAGGCTAAAGGCATGCATTCCAAGAGTTCTGGTATATTTTCTTGCTTTTTAAGAGTAGTTCTTTAACATCCCCTACAAAACTGTGTCTAAATTTCTGACATCAGTTATAGTTTCTGAAAAGGTGAGTCTAGTAACACCCTAGATTGAATGCCCCCTGAGGATACGGCAGGAACCGGCCTGGGTTCCAGTAAAGCACTTGGCAATGTAGAGTTTCAATTAGTAATGTGCGTTAAATTAGTGAATGATTGAATAAATCAATGCAATGACTGAACAGAGCTCCCGCTTGCCTCCACGCACCAGCATGACACACTGATGCATGCTTCACAATGTGACAGTGACAAAGCATCTCCTCGTAGATTGAGGACTTCTCTAGTTAAGTGTAGTGTTGGGTGGACAGACGGCAAGCCAGCACTTCTACTGAATAAAGCAGAAAACCTACCCCCAAAAGCTTAGAAGCAAAAAATACATTAAAACCAACATTTTTACTTTCTGGACAAAGTAAATCTTTTCAGCTCAGTGGACTGATTATTCAGGAACAACAGGACTCAATCAATTCCTGGCCCATCTCCTCCATTTCCAGATACCTTGATTGTGTAGAAATTCATTTGTGTCAGATATAGGAATAAATCAGAACAATAAAGTACACTATTATTTGGCAAATACGGCCATGGTTTGTTGCAAACAAAAGGCAGAATAAAAGGACCGAATGGGTGATAGTGTTAATTCTTTTCCAAACATGAAGGCGGGCAGAGGGGCCACTTTCTGAGGACCCTGCAAACAAAACCATTTTATAAACAGGCCTTCTTTTAGGTCTACTAGACAGAATGATCCCTTACATGAAAAGACTCAGATCCCAAGATGCATAACTAATATGCTACCTTTTTGCCACCATACCCACAGTACATTAATTTCATTTAAAATGCACTGACCATACAGGATAAATTGATTTCACTTTATATGAGTTTGACAGCCATGTTTATTGTGCAGTGAAATGTAGTGTAGCTTCCAGCTGACAATATCCATCAACACAGGGCAATATGCTGACTGCTGGGCCAGATGAAGGCATACATTACTCTGGAAGTGAAACACTCATTCAGACACGACAGTGTCTTCTCCTGAGGATCACTACGGTAATTTATGATGCCCTCCGTGCCATTATTTTACAACTGACATGGATGTAGCAATTTATATACTTGCATGCGTACACATAAAAGAAGACAGGCTTGTAGAGAATGCCATATGCAAAGACATTTCAATATTATTCTAAGTTAGTTACTATGCCACAGGTGATTGACATTGGAGATTTGCTCTTATTGTCATAGCTTTCTCTCCACCTCTAACAAACCTAAAATAGCCAGCTTTTATTCATTTAAAAGATGTATTTTTATTGTGAACAGGATGTTTTAATCTCCTACAAGCTAATAGGGATCATGGTGGAATTTTAGATTCTGTTTCAGTAGATCTTCTATTCCAGATCAATTTATTCTCCCAGACACATACCACATATGCCACTCTCTTCTCTCTTACTAACCTTTACGTTTTTTTAAGAAAGAGAGTTCAGGTTTTACCCCACCAACTGCTCTTCACTGACCTTGCCTCTTTCTCCCATAGTACATTTTGTCTCATGACACTGACACTGGAGATTAATTACACAGCAGATCTCTAGGAGTCATAGGGGTGTTCTAGAAAATTAAGGAATCCAAGCATGGTACAGAGTATAAAATACAAATTAGGAAAGAGAAAATAGAAAATGCTCTGTGTCATAGCACACTTCTCTTTTTTCTTGTCTCCTCTTCTCTCTTCCAAGGGGAGTAAATTGAAAAATAGAATGGGGACATCCCAAGGAAAACTAGGAATGTTGTGTTTATGAACCAAGATTTGGGAAGAAAAAGAGACTTACCCTGGGAGATAATTTTTAAACTGAAGATCTGATCAGAATCAGAATTTTAAAGAAGTATTAAGAGGCCCCAAAATCAAAAGAATATTTAGAAAGTGTTCTTTAATTTCCCCAAACTTTGCTTTATGAAACAAAATGTTTAGAGAATAATTGTTGCAATAATATAAATACATATTAAATTCAGAAATTTAAAAATGGATTCTATGAAAGCCCTTTTAAACACATAAAGAAAATTCTATAAAACACTAAAAGATTGTTTTCAAAGGTATGCTATTAGTTTGAATATTTGAAGCCTAAAAAAATCCATGTTCTGTTCTAATTAACTTTAAAATCTACATATCAAGTGTGACTTCAAATTGCTTCATTCATTTTTGAAAATAACATCAAGGTGTTTTGTTTTGTTTTGTTTTGTTTTTTTAAAGCCACTTTATCCTAAAATAGCCAATGCTCTGTGTCAGAATCCGGAATTGTCCTAGGGAATGTCTCACAATCTATAAGGCATCTTCTTTTACTTTTTGTAGCAGAGGAATCATTTATTCATGTTGTGTCTCCTCATGGAAAGCAGTTGGAAGAACCTTAGAACCACAGCTATGTACCTGGACTACTGCTTTCAGCTGATCCAAGAGTCTTTAATTACCAACAAAAGCATTCCTAAATGACAGTTGCTAAAGGGCCAGAGGTCATCAGAACCACATTAGGTACACTGGTCCTCTGTACTCCCAGCATTCCTGCTCTCTCCAACTTCGCCGAGGGGCTTGGATTGATTAATTCACCCTTCATCTCCCATATCACAGTTTGTGTAAAGGCAAACTTTCAGTGAGGTACAGAAAGATTGCGTATGGGGAGAAAATAGAAATTATAAAGGAAAAGACTTCTTTAGGAATCTGAGATTTAAATGATTTAAAGAGAAGACAGAAAGTTGAGTTTTTCCAGGTGGGTTGGAAAGAGAGCCAGTTTAACCATCATAGCCTATGGCAATGGTCCTAAACTAATCCTAGAGAGGCCCCCTTCCTGGGTAAATTCCAAGAGTTATGTGAGTGAATGAGTAAGTGTTTGGTGTGTGCTTTTGTACACATAAAGTTCTCACTAAGGAGGAGCTTTAGCTAATTCTATAATGTTCCTGGTAATCATTTATGCGTGCATTAATTTCAGCAAACACTTCTGACACATTTTAGGTATACCCAGCATTGTGATCAGGTATTCAAAGAATAACAACACATGTGCCTTGCTTTTAAGAAATTTGGTCCAGTGAGGAAACAGATACATAAAGAAAAAATTACAAAGCAGTGCAAGTACTAACAAAAAGGTAATTTTAATATACTACGACAGCAGATAAGATAAGCTATTAGTGATATTGGAATGGACAGAGATGTATATCAGAAAGGCTTCAGAGAAGAGTTGGTGCTTGAAAGCATCTTAATGGAAGAGTAAGACTTTACCAGCAGGTATGGGTGTAAAAGCACTCCCGGCTGGAGAATCAGCATGAATGAAGGCACAGAATTATAGTGAAATTAGGAAAGTAAGCAGGGGCCAGATTGCTAAATACCCTTGAATGCCAAGCCAAAAATTGTTTAAGGTGATTAAGCAGACATGAATAAATATATTCTAGAAGAGATCAAAATGAAAACTTAGTGAGAAATTACCATGAATGGTCTCAATGATCACTAGTAAATTGGTAATAAGGAAAAGAGAAAGACAAGGCGAATAAATACCTCACAAGCCCAATGCAACTTACACTTTGTCAGACAGAATGTGATCTATGCAAAATGTTGGCACAAAAGATTCTCTTCTGGCATCTAGTTCTGGTAATGGCAGAATAGCTTATGTCAGACTAACCCTCAAGCAGATAATAATTACAAACTCTGGAAAAAATATGAAAGAGCAACCATTCGAAGTCACTGGAGATTTACCAAAATTAAAAAGAAACTGGAGAGGATTCAATCCTAGAAAGAAAGGAATTTCACTGAAATCCTTTTTTTTTTTTCCATAGCTTTTCCATGAAGACACTCTGTAGTCTGCCTA